ACAGGGGTGCAATTCAATCTCTGCCGGGCCAGTAAAGTGTCGTATTTTACAGCATGTTCTCGCGAAATTGACGCATTTTACACTAGCCCGTCAACATCCCCCGCATGTCCCACCAACATCCCTAGCATCACCCACAAATCGTGTGACGGGGTCAAAGAAATGATGATTCAAGTAGGGGGGGTTGGGGGGGGCGGGCCCCCCCCACGATGTTGTTTGCAGAAGTGATGATTTGAATAGGGGTGCAATTAAATCTCTGCAAAAAGTCTAAAAAGTAGCGGGGGGGTTGGGGGGGGCGGCAGCCCCCCCCATGATGGTCGAAGAATTGATGATTCAACTAGGGGTGCAACCCCCCCATGATGTTCGAAGAATTGATGATTCAACTAGGGGTGCAACTAATTAAATCTCTGCAGAAAATCTAAAACGTAGCGGGGGGGTTGGGGGGGGCGGCCCCCCCCATGATGTCGGAAAAACGCCACCTGCCGAAGAGGAACTGGGAATGCAGAGGATGCGAAAAGCCAAAAAGCCACCAAAAGCCGCATAAACCAGCAAAAAGCCGAAAAGCCTAGAAGCCCAGAAGCCGAGAAGCCAAGAAGCCGAAAAGCCAAGAAGCCAAGAAGCCAAGAAGCCAAGAAGCCAAAGCCAAGAAGCCCAGAAGCCGAGAAGCCAAGAAGCCAAGAAGCCGAAAAGCCAAGAAGCCAAGAAGCCGAAAGCCAAGAAGCCGAGAAGCCGAGAAGCCGAGAAGCCAAGAAGCCAAGAAGCCAAGAAGCCAAAAGCGAAAACAATTCCCAAAAAAAAATGAAAAAATCCTAAAATAAATACCCCTCCAATAGCATGTTCCTCTCTAAACCAAGCCAAGAGGTGGTTCCCCTAAAAAACAAACCTCACCTTGCCCAGCAAGGCATCTTCCCTTCAATCCAAGCCAAGAGGTGGTTCCCCTTCCCCCCCAACACAAATGGCATTTTCCCCTCTAGACAACCTCACCTTGCCCAGCTCCCTTCAAACCAAGGCATCTTCCATTCAAGCCAAGGCAAGAGCTAATTTTCCCCCAACACAAATGGCATTTTCCCCTCTGATTCCCCCCAACACAAATGGCATTTTCTTCTAAACCAAGCAAAGAGGTGGTTCCCCTAAAAAAACAAACCTCACCTTGCCAAGCGAGGCATCTTCCCTTCAAGCCGAGCCAAGAGGTGGTTCCCCTAAATTGTCAGAAAAACTGGCTACGCTGGACTTTGCTGAGCTGGCAGGTCGTTGGCCGAGACCCGCGCTTTCGGCTTTCCGGCGCTCCCTGGGCGAATCCGTCCGCCTCAAAACGAGAATCTGAGGCCAGTCTGATACGCCGATACGCTGGCCGCAAAAAAACCAACAACGCAGGTGTGAGGACCTGCAACCCTCCAACTATCCCCATAAAAGGGACCCTCCAACAATCAGAAAAGGGAACGCACTTCAGAATGATAGGGCAAAAACAAACTTGTCAGCTAGTTTGAGGTCGTCGTTTTGCTTGGCGGCTTCCTTTTGATTGCTTGGGGGTTCTGTGTAGTTCCTTAACAAGACACCAGGCCAACCGGAAGCGGGGTCTCCCAGGCGGATTGGCCAAGTCCAAACCTGCCGCTTGTCGCTTCAAATGGCAAGCGCCCAGAAGGTTCAACCCGAGGAGTGAGGATGATTAGGTAGCCATAGATGCCTTAAACAGTACGTGATGTGTGATGTGTGTGTGGCGGATATACGGTGGTACAATAATTATAGCCTAATTGCCAATACACACAACTATCCTACCTCAAAGAGTCTCCTTTTTATCAGGATATCAAGCGAGAAAGACTTGAAATAAAAGGGTTCTTTGAGCTTGAAGGACGGATAGGGTTAGTAACTTCTGGAACGATTCTTTACATGTTGCTAGATGCGTTAACCAGTACGTGATGTGTGTGTTTGCGGATATACGGTTGTACAGTAACTATAGCACATGTGTCGCTTCAACGTGTGTAGATAAATGTAGACAATGTTGATTGTTGCTGTCGGCTTGTTTTCTCAAAACGCACCACGAAGCGATTACAGACGGGTGTCGCATCAGGGTGCCCAACAACACTCAGTCTCAAAACTTAGCCACGCTTCTAAAAGCTAATAACTGCTAGTGGGTTGAATGGACACCCAGCCACTAAACCGACCAAAAACCGGAACACCAACGGAACCGGACGGCTGGGAACCATAAACCTGACACAAACGGAAAAGTGTCTTCCGCTGAAAGGGACCAACCAAGCAAGCCACCTAAGCCGATGACGCAACGATCTGGTCCGAACACTTGTCCAAGGGACTTTATGTTCCACAATAGGTTCTGTCCTTCTAGTTCGATTGCCATAAGGACAGCGTTCTTCGATTTAGTTGTATATTTTTGGGGGTTCAGGGAAACGCGACCCGATTGGAGTTTGCGGACTCTCTGAGACGTTGTTGGCAACACTGGTCAGCAAGTTGCGAATCGATGAAGCTGATGCCTGATTCATCAGGGCTCAGCAAGCTGCTCCTTAATTCTCACTACATAAATCATTCCACATTCCACATTCCACTGGAAAAAAAAAACATGCCATTCCACAGGAAAACGCATAGCCGTGCGTAGAATCAAGGCCGCCCGGAAGAAGCGTTTGCGCGAAGAAATCCTGATACAAGCTGAACCTTTGGGACCCAACAAAACGACTCTCAGCAAATCACAAACAAGTCGGTTGGCGACAGAAACTGGCAGTGGAACACGCCACCCCGCCCCGCCCTCCATCCGAACATGCGCGGTTGCGCAAACGCTGAGGTTCGCGCCTGCACATCCTCGTAGAACAGCTCCGGCTCGGAGGGAGGCGCCTGGCTGAAACATGCGCAGGATGCAAGATCTGTGCAAATCCAGAAGGCAACAAATCCTCGTGCAAATTCCTCTTGCATGCAATTTGTAGTGTTGCATGAAGCATGCATTTCTATCATATACATATTTATATATACACACACCAAAGCACCAAAAGACCAAACTCCGGGTAGGAGCTTGCATCCGCCTCCCTCACGCACACCTCTTCCAGACTCGGCTCCGGCTTCATCTCTGCGGCCTGGCAGGAGGCCGCCCCAGAGTTCGCCAGGTTTCACTCCGCTCAGGACGCCAGCTTTGCTCTCAGCATGAGTGGTGCACTTCTTCGTGGCCCACGGATCCATTCGAGCAAAAGGTGCCAAGCTGGGGCTCTTGAAGGTCCCATGTTGCGGGTCTTTGGCCCAAAGGCTACCGTAGCCCAGCCTCACTCGGCTCGGGCTTCTCCGGTGCCTGTCAGAGATCGCCCGTAAGACGCCGATCCGGCGGCCCAGAACTGAACTCCCCCCCAAAAAATATATGTCCGCAGTAAGTCGTGGAACTTGTCTTGTGTTTTTTGTGGAAATCCAGAGCTCCAACGGCAAATGGGAGGGATTTTATATAACCGAACCCTGCCAACAAGAATGATGAAAACCGGCTGGGGAGGGTGAGAGGGGGGATTCCATCGCTCAAGTTGCCCAACCACAAATGGAGACCTTGAACTTTCTATCAACTCCACTTTCAAAGCCCAAAAGGCTGGGAGGCCTTTGGCATCTTTTGCCAGTTGTACCTGTCAGGCGTACCTGTCTTGCTGGGTTCAGCTTCCTTCCAATTGGTTTGCATCAGGCCCTTCTCCGAAAGGCACAAGCAAGTAAAATCGGTGCGCGGCTTGCTTCTTCTTGGGCTAACGGCCCCCCCTCTTTGCTACTAGCAAGATGGGACCTCCCCGCAACACCCTGAAACCCTCTAACACCCTCCCCGAACGTTGCCCCTATTACCCCAGAGCTTATTTTGGCAGAGACGCCACAGCTTGCAGCTACTGGAGAAAAGCATGTGGCATTTACAACTTTTTTCAATACAAACTGTCAAAACCACAGGGGCAACGTAAGCTGCAAGCCCAGCCCCGTCAGCAGGTCCATCATTTTTTGACGCACGCGGGAAATCGAAGGCGGTGCGTAGCCTTGGTGGCCTTTCCCTGCCGCCACTCCATTTTTTTTCCAGAACCAAATTGAAGCCAGTGCCTTGCAATGCCATTCTAGAGAAAGGACACCTATGGAAGCCCGCACCACTAATATGCACTGCTCACGTGCCCATTGCCAATTTTCTTAATCAAGGGTGTGAAACGGCATATATGTGTATATATACATGTATAACAAAATATTTACATAGATATATAGACCTTCCGCATCTACCCCAATTGCCAACAGAACGCTCTCTTCACGGTTAAGTGTTCCTTTGGACCAAAGGCTAGTCCATTCAACCAGGGCAAAGCGGCAGGGAATGGCCAATGCGGGGGTTGCGAAAGCCGAAGGCCTCATCATTCACATGCAACTCCACTAGCATGCACGCCAAAATGTCCAAACCTTCACATCTCACTTCCTCTGCGCATTGTTGGCCAAAGAAAGTCTGAAGTTTGTAATATGGTCTGCCCAAAAGTGAACAAAGTCCAGGATCTCAGGGGGTGAGATATAGTCGGCGTCAAATTCCCGTTTTTCTGCCAAAGCATCCATTTCTGTTGTATCTACGCCTTCCTTCGCAACCCCAGCGATCGGGGCAGTCATTTACTCGGCCTTCAGCCGCTCGGTCAAAGGGCTCGCTCTTCAAGGAAGAACGAGGCCCAAGGCTCATCGACTCGAAAGCGGCAGGCTTCGTGCACTTCTGAGCACCGCAGGGGTGTCAGGCTCGGGCGAAGGGTTTCTGGTATTCTCTTGTGCCAGGGACGGCTTTTTGCGCGCATGTCGCAGCTACAGTGCGTTTTGGGGCGCCGCATGGCTCGGGGGACACAAATTTGGGAAGCATCCATGCCTACACGAAACCGCGCTCGCCGCTCGCCGCGGCGACAACATGGAGATGTGTCTGGCACCTCACGTCACAATCAAAACCCGGTAGTAAAGTGGTCTACCCGGAACCATGTAAAGAATTTAGAAGGCGGCCGCAGCTATTTCTGGCAGGGACTGCCCCTTAATAACCTTCATCAATCCTCGGGTTTTGATTGTGACTCACTTGATGACGGGCCGGTGCTCCACCACCACCCTGCGGGTCTCCAGCAGTGGAGTGTTCGGCGCGGTGGGCGAGAGCCTTATCGCGCCGCAACCGGCAGGCCGACGAAATGAAGCCGCGGCCGAACCAAGCAAAAGCAACAGGAGCTGCAGCTGCAGGCGCCTCCATGGGTGCGTGGGACATGCCAAGTTAAGCAATATGCATATGCATGCCCAATCGCACACTCACAACCATGCTAGCCTGCTAGCCTTGATGTGCTTATGGGAACCCCCCAACATAGGTGCGTATTTATTGAGTTAGTACCCACATTCAAGGAAATGAAACAACATCCGCCAGGATGTCCACAGTGCTCACTCTAGGATTGCAAGAACCGCACAAATCACAATAAGTCACCAACCATCACTCAGAAGCAATACCACAAGCCATCCGTGTCAAAGGGCCCGACCTGCAGTATCTCGAAACACATCGGGAAGAAACTTTAGAAACCATGACTCAGACTTGAGGAACTGTGCAGGGCGCTAGCCACAGTGAGTCGGAACTGCCGTCGGTGTGAACTGCAGGAGCTAAGTCCTGACCTGCAGCGTTGGTCATCCGACAAATAAGTTGATTCCTCTTGGCCCTGCACTCAAGCCAAGCCGACAAAGCCGGTCCCCAAACAGCTAGCATACGATCCGAAAATAGGTTTTTTTGTTTTTTCATGCTCCAAGGCAAGCCTATTCTGGGGCAAGGACCCTCCACCTAGTTGAAAGCGAAAACTAGTCACCAAGCGCAAACGAACCTAACAATAACAATAACACATGATAATGCTAGTAATGATGATGCGATAGCACAGCCTAGAAGCGAGCAAGCAAATCATGGCAATGAACATCTATTCAAGATATGAACAAAACAAATTACTCACGACGAATCTAGGATCCCCAGCAAGGGAACCAAATGCCATCATCAGGCACAAAGTCACAAACCAAATGCTCTCCCCAACTAACACGGCGTGACGAGCAGGAAAAACTGTCTCCTCTTGGAAGGGGGGTTGGGTGCTGTGCACGAGCCATGTTTCGCACTAAGTACTATATAATCATAATCACCCAACCAAAAAAAGAATGAATCGTCTGCGAAACGCGACTGCGGTCTCCCTTCAGGCGACCAAACCTGTACACCGATTGAAAAGTGGCCTAACTGATATATTTCCCTGGTGCAACCCCAATATTTCCAGGGGTTGACAGCTCAAGGGACGATGGAACGCCGGGCTCCGACTGTTTTCTTCCGTGGCTCCCGGCGTCGGCCCGGACACTGGAACCATATGGCCGCCCTCCACCCTGCGAGCAAGGCCGCATTTGGCCATGAAAGTGCCTTCAATCGGCGGTTGTGATTTGCCTGCGTTTCGTGAGCGGGAAGCCTCAATGGGGCCTGATTGCTCGTTTGTGTTGCTTTGAGCCACCAGAAAAGCAACCACCAGGGGAGAGTCAACCGCCAACCTATCCCTACGTTGGGGTGCATTTGTGAAAGCAACGCAAAACCTTGGAACTGCCCAGTGAATTACGAAGCGCAGTTTTTGGAAAGAACCCAACGCAACACAGAAAAACAATGAAAGCGAAGTGCACTGGACAGCCGGGACGTGGTAGAAGAAACGTGCCTTTTCCATACACTTCAGCCAGATCTGAGGCCAACCAAGTCGAGACGGACTCACTTCCTGTATGGATTGGCCCTAACAAGTCCCCAAAATTCCCGTCTCTCCGCACCAATGACCTTCCTAAGGCTAGGAACTCGAAGAATGCGTCTGCACGAAAGATCGCGTTCCCAAAGCCAATCAAAAGTCCAGATACTGTATCGTCAATTGTATGAAAGGAACACCCCTTTCTATCCGGCGCTTCTTTTTTGAGGGGCACCCCCTGTTTGGTGAAAGCCCACTTTGGCTGGGAAAGCTGAAGGGAAAACCGAAGGCCCCCGATTTTCAAACGTCCCCTCGAGGCCCTGCCTCCTGACACGGTTCGCCAGGCTGGGCCTGGGTGCTGGCTCGCCACATGGCGACGTGGCGGGGGGGTTGGTGGGGGGGGTGGGTGGTTTGCCTCCCCTGTCTTCTCAGACCCAGTGGCCAGGGGAAAAAAGGGCAACCTGTTTTTTGGGCGGTTCATTTTAAAGGGAACCCTTCCCAAAAAAAAGGAAAAAAGGTGACCACTGGGTCTCCCAAGGCTTCCTTTGGTCCAAATCCCCTCCCCCCATTCCATGTTGAGGTGGGGGACGGAAATCAAGAGCGGACAGCAATGCAAAGTTGTTGCACCCATTTTAGATGAAATCGGTTCCTTTTGGAGTTATCGCCTCTTCTTAATTCGCCAGGGTTTCAACCCAGATCGCCATAAATGTCAACATTCGGGGTATTGAAGACATGAAAACCATATGCACAACCAATACCAGGTTGTAAGTCAACATGTACCCGCTATACAAGCGGTACATAAGCTCCATACACCCGAAAAAAAAAAAAAAAAAAAAAAACACACACACCTGAGTCACAATCAAAACCCGGTATTCAAATTGTCTACCCAGAACCATGCTTCAAGAATTAAGAAGCCGAAAATCCGAGTGTCCCTTACTAACCTTCATCAATCCCCGGGTTTTGAGCATGCGGCTCAACTGACTAATCCCTGCGTCTTTGACCCCGGCGTGCTGGTGGTGGCGGAGCCGGAAGCTCTTCGAGGCTTCGCCGCGCCGTCCACGCCTTGTGCTTCCGTCCGGGTCCTCGCGGCGCTCGTGCGAAACAAGCAGAAGAACTGCTCATCAACAATCCTTTCTTGGATCTGAAAAAAAACATGTACCTCGAGCTGCTTGGACCCTGCGTCCTTCACGCGCCCACCGAAAAGCTGGATGATGCTTTCACTAGTATACCCACCTATCCATTCCAAGGAAATCGACTCACCAGCAACAGCTCCAGAGTTCCTTCGGCCGGAACTTGTTGGCTTGAAGGCTTCGTATGCGCTCCCACCCACCCGCACCAAAACATTGGCAGGGCAAAGCCTACAAGAAGCCAGCAACAAATCCTTTAGGCGGGTGTCGCTTATTCTTGTCTGTGGAAGTTCCTGCAGGATGCTACTGAAGGGTCTGTTCGGAACCGTCTCATGGAGAAACGGTTGACTGACAAGGTAACCCGAAGCAACCTCCAAAACCGAAGAACATCTCTTGTTTGCTTACGAACAAGTAAACGGATCACCCACCTCCCCCCCCCCTCCACCTCCCCACCTGTACCGTCCCATCCCACCTGAGCTCCAGCTGGCCCTCCAGTGTCTTGCAGCGAAGCTTTAGCCGCCGCAGCTCCTCCTGAACGCTTCGCTCGGGCGCGTTTGGCGCTTGGCCTCATTCACGGGGAACCTCGTCCCCGGGTGCAACTTGCCAACTCAAGGTAGAGAAAGCGAGCCCATCCTTCTTGGAAGCGGCCAAATTTGTGGGGAACCCAACCCAACCAAAACATAGATTTGAAGGGTGCAGCTGAACAGCCGGGAACTAAACTGGTCTGACAAACACGTATGTATGAAATTGGTTGCATTTACACACAGGTGAAATGGATCACACAAAACGACATATGCCCACTCAACACACAGTCAGCTACTGGAGTGTCCCTTCAGAAGCTGATCCGATTTACTGCGGGCTCCAGTGGAATGCAAGTTTTGGAGGTCCAACCAGAGATTCCTGACACAGAAACCCGACAAAGGCTTCGTCTGTGTTTATCCCGACACCTACTTGCTGCCTTCTCACCTGAGGGAAATGCCCGAACATTCAAATCCAAAACAACGATTGCTGAACCATCAACTTGCTTGTGCTTAAACCAATCCGCCGCACCCAGCCTTTGATCCCTTGTTTGGTACCAATATGGAGGCCCCCCTGCGTAGAGAGGACATGCGGCACGTTTTGGCCTGGACGGATTGCCAGCCACGCGCCTCAGCCTGCAGCTGACGGGCCTCTGCCGAGTGCAAGTTCCGGGCAGTGGTGGCCAGGACCTCCTGAGACCGTTGAACTCGGGCTGTTTTTTTTTGTGCTGATGTGGCTGCAGCTGCAAAAATGGACTGTACCAAAAATGGCACCTTGGATCACGGAACCACAGACTAAAATCAGCTTGTTACCTTATGTCGGGGTCATTTTTGTTGACTGCTGCTGGGGGTTATTGAAGTCACTAAGTGCGCGTTGTTTCCGTTTGACCTCATTGGGGGTGACTTTGGTCATGGAAACAACTTAAGGCCAGTTGTGTACAACTGAACAGCCAAAGCTGCTGCACTTGCAAGGCACTGCACTTGTTGGCCGTCGCAGCCTCACGACCTATCACAACAGCTCCTTCACGTAATAAGGTCCTTGCTTGATTGCGTAACTCTCGGCATTTGCTGGCAAGATTGTGCACGGCATGTTCCTCCTGAAGCGCCCGAAGGTTGCTTTCCACTTGCACCCGGTCTTGCTGACCAGCACCTGTCCGCAATACTCTTTGCAATCTCCCAATCCTCTTGGCTCTGTCCGCACCTCCGGAATCCGATCGAGCAAAGCGCTTCTGGTTCCCTTTCATGGCAAAAAGTTTCAAACGAACTTCAGAACGATTGGCGCTCGTCAGTTCAAGTGCAAGTGTTGCTTGCGATTCTTTCGCTGTCAAACCATGTTCCAGAAAGCGCTGTAAGCAAGTCTTGGCCGTGCCCAAGTGGGTGCAACAGAGCTGGTTAGTCCGGCCATAACTACTGACATTCCAGTGCTTCATGCCCTGATCATGCAAAAAAAAGGCCAAGCAATGTAGTATGTACGGATTGGATTGTGATACTTTCAAGGCCAAGCTGGTGCTGAAGTTGTGCACGACAATGGAACCTTCGGCGTCAAAGAAGCCAGCAAAGTATGACCAAGAGCAAGGAAACTGAGACAAGCAATCTGGTTGGAAGCTCACGTGCTTCAATGCCTTCAAGCGCTTTTGAACTTCATAGCGTTGCGCGGCGCACACACCGCCCTGCATCGCAATCTGAAGTTGCGCCTGCTTCATCGAAGGAAAGGCCCCAACCGTGGATGCAGCAAACATCATTGCACGTCCGGCGGCTTTCCACCGCAAGCATGCATTTGCAACACCAGTGGCGTCTCGCTCGCGATAGATTCCACCTCCAAGCATGTCCCGAAATCGAACGAGAACACTAGCCTGCTGAATGGACTGGGAGATCTGCAGATTCAGACTGCCATCTCGGTTGTGCATTGTGACGCACCCATCCCCATCAAAAAAGCCGATCAAATACTGCATGTCTTCATGCGATGCCCGATGCCTAATCTTGGTTGTGGAGGAGAGTGGGAGCTGATACGTGCGCCCGCCAGACGAAAAGCTCTCAACGCGCGGGAACCGCATTCGTTGGAGAAGGTCATACAAGCGTTCCGAGCGGCGCTGCAAGCTCGGCAGCGTCTCGCTTCCCAAGTTGCGACGTAGAAGTGAAAGCCCGGCACTGGCACCGTGACCGCAAAAGCGAAAGCGCCAAAGCGTGCCAAATGCCATTCGCATCTTCTTCGCTCACGAGGCCATCGGGACATTTTCAAGCATTGGTGCGAAGTGAGGCCGTTCAAACACCAGCTGCAAGCGACTGCTGAGATATGGGCTGGGAATCTTGATCCGAGCTGCTGCGGACTAGAGCACATATCAGTTGCATCAGACCACAGGCTTCGCGCAGGGGCATTCCAAACTAAGTTGCGCGGCACCGCAAAATACCGAGTAATTAAGGAACATTACCATATGGCCTGTGACATGGCATGCATGAGTTTGGATTATGTTTTGCAAGGGGTGCGCAATGACGAAAAGCAACCACTTCAAGCATCCTAATGTAAGGGCCATGCTCTACACCCCACACTTCTAGTCCTTCATGCTTAGGATGGACCAATGCAGCTGCACCTATCCGGGCTAAACCCAAACCTCTCAACACACATATGCAAAGGACGGCCCCTTGGAAACTGTCACACCTTCTAGCTAGTTGCATTCTGCGGATGCGCCGGTTCTTCAAAAAAGGGGGCTGAGAGTTCGCAGCCAAATCTTTTTCGTCCTGGTGTCTCGACTTTGCTTACAAAGGAAGGCATACATCAAAAGGAAAACAATGGACACACGTGTCCGTGTGTTTCAATATAGGGACCCAACAAATGGCAAGTTTCCCCTGTAAAACAACCCGAGGAGTGGTACTTTCAAAAAAGACAAGCCACATATCTAGCTGTTCTTCTCCTAGTTCCAGGGCGTGTCCTTCTGTGCCTACTGGAAGTCAAAGGCAATTTAAAATCTGTGTGATTCGGGCACGAGCCTGTGCCCAGGCAATGGGTTAGTTGGGGTAAACAAGCCACAAAAGAAAGGTTCCCCAAAAGCAAACCAATCCCCGGTCCCAAAGATCAGGGTTTCCAACACGCCAGAGAACAACAACCAAAAGGGAAAAGGGTTAACCCGCAACCTTGATCGACGACAGGCCGCACGAATGGTCCCTACCAACCTGGCGGCGGCCCGAGGTCTCTTTCTCCCCCGAGATGCCGTCGGTCGACGCAGGGGCTCGGCGACGCCCATCCGAGGCGCGACGGAACCCGTAAAACTTGAGCCAAACATCACAGGTCAGTCACTACCGCGACATCCCTGCTGATGAAATAAATCATGGCTAATCACACCCCCCTCACGAGGAGCCCGTCATATGACGGGTGGAGCGTGCCATTTACTGATAGGATTTAACTGCTCGCATGCGTCCGCAAACAGCTGGACACTACCGCCGTCAGCGGTGGAGCAAACCCACAAAGGCAGTTGCGCGACATCCCGGGCATTAAATTCCCGCCACCACCCCGAATTAATCGGGGTAACGCTGGCCAACATACCTTGTGGAAAAGTCCACGTGACGACACTAGGCCACAACTGTTTGCATCAACAATGCAAGAAGTTTAATTCTTATCAGAAGCCATGAAATAAGAGATAGCGTATGTCCATTAGTACCCTCGCCTATCGGCAAGAGGTACTCCTGACCATGCGTACCTGAAAAAATGCTTGAATTCCGCAAGCCCGGGAGTAACCCCCCATCAGTTTGCTTTCCCTCTCACTCACACTGCTCCTTGATGAGCACGACCAGCAGCCGAGCAGCGGTACGGGAGAAACATGATCTCCGCGCCTCAGCGGTTCGGGACCATCACCACCTCCGCACCGCGCCGACCATTGGAGAATGGACGCAAGCCTATCGGCCGCAATCCTCGTGACTCAGCCTATCGGCTATCGTCACGTCTCCTCCGGTCACGTCCGCCCCGCGCACGGTCCCTATCACGATCCCTCTCGGATCTCCTGCGATCATCTCGCCTTCGATCCCGCTCCCGATCGTGTGATTCATCATCACGACGATCTCGAGCGTCGTCCCTCCTCCGGTCACGATCTTCGTCGCGCCGCGGACGATATCTGCGCCTTCTTGATTCTCGGGAATCCCTGGTGTCCACTGTCCTAACGGACCTCCGAGAAGGAGTACAGGACATCTCTGAATCTCGACGTCCTCTCCCGAGGCGAGAGTTCGACACTATCTGGTTAAGAGCCTCCAGCGCCGAAGCATTCTCACCATTCGTGATGAAATCCCTGACCTGCTTATTCAGCACCCTATTGGGAGACATCGTCAGGAAAGCGTTCACCACCGAACTCTCCGGCAACACCAGGAAGTGACCCTCCACCGAGCTCGCAGCTGCTCGCTCTGCCGACTGCAACCTGATCTCACCCCCTTCAGGCTTCTTTGCCATCGCCTTGGAGGCCGTCAAAGGCGCTACCGCGTCCTTTGCCGAAGACCTGCCAAGCGCGGAGTGAAGATCGTCTCCACTAGCTTCTCTCGCTGCCGCACCTGGTCTGTTGTCGACGTCATCAGGCCTTGTTGACGCCTCCCGCTTTGTCGACTCCTTCACAGTCTCATCGGGATCCCAACGAGATTTCCTTTCTCTCCTCTGCCCTTCGGCCGACCCCCGGCTACCGCCAGGCGCGTCATCTCCGCCTATCTTCTCCTTCTTGACCTCAACCTTCGGTTCGGCCTGCTTCGTCTCCTTAGCCTCAGCCTTCGGAGCCGGAGCACTCTTCGCCTCAGACACTGAAGCTGCCTTCCCTTTTGGCTCGGCTTTTGGAACCGGGGTCATTTTAGCCTTCGCACTCGGCCGGGCTCCTTCAACCGCTATCGCGACCCAAGTCTTCTTCGGTTGAGCCACAGTTGCATCAACCTCCATCGGAGCCGGCCCAGCATCAGCCTTTGCTTTTGCCTGTGGAACAGATGGACTATCGCCCATACCAGACCCTTTTCCTGGCACTTCACCTGACTTTGGTGGTGGGCCGGAAGGACTACCGCCCTTACCGCCCTTTTCCCCCTTCTTCCCTTTTCCTTTTCCGCCCTTGACGATCGGCTCCTGCTTAGGACCAGGACCCTGCGCAGCATGATGCACCGATTGAAGCCCTTCGATGTTCACGTCCAATGGCTCCGGTCCAGGCTCCGGTTGACGACCATCAAGAACCGTCCTCACCCTTTCGTCACTAACGTAGACGAATGGGTCGCGGAAGGGGGCGGGAGGCTCTGACTGCCCGGCACTGATTGCCTTCTGCACCTTGGCTATCGCCTCCTTCAATCTCTTCTTCTCATCGTACCCTGTCTCTGATACCATGTACTTCCTGAGATCCGATATCAACGCATGACTGGCCAGGATGTCCACGTCCTTCCGATGGGTCGGATACAATGGAGTCAGATGCCCCGCCGCGGAGCCAATCACGTACGCCATCGGGATATAGAAGGACAAGTATGTGTCATGACAAGCGAACTTCCTAACGGAAGTCGTCATACGCCTACCCCACTGAGCAGCATGCACCGGGTTAGCTCGGAAGTACTCAGTGACCGAATCAAATCTATCGACTTGATTGGTCTTTATCAAGTGCTTCGCCACCCACTTCTCCACGAACGCATCCGAGGCCGAAATCCCCGACACATAGGAGAATTGGAAGAGCACCTTCGCCAGCTCATCCCACGCT